AAATTCGAAATGAATGTCAGCTATTGAGCTTGTTTGCAACTTCGAAAGCTGACATCCAAAGCCAACAGCCACCAAACAATACCAAGCAGCCATAAATAGGACTAGCGCCGCTTTGTTGTCCTCATCACTTCCTCCCAGCATGAGACCCATACGGTCAAGGCCATCCTCAGGTCGGACTGGCCAGCCATAACTGGCAGGTCTCAGCTGCACCGAAATGCACCGATGCTTATGCCAAGTTTCGCCGTCCCCAAACATGAGGCCTCGATAGAGATAGGTCACAGTCCAAGCCTCACAAACAGGTTGGCTATGGTTAGATCCCATATGATCCCATGTGCCATGCTTTAGTTTTTGGGAAAATGCGTGGCTGAAATTACTCACATCAGAATCAACCACCATCAAACCTCCATCATTCATGTTCATTCAACGAAGGCAAATAACAATGCTTTTATTACGTAGTTACATACATGCTATAACCCTTTTCCCATGGTGATACCATGGTCTTTCTATGTCTTTTTTCCATTTTTTCCCATATTTTTCCCATGTCTGAAGTGAGACACGCAGGACTCTCCGGAACCATCCGGAACCACTTTCTGAGTGCTGGACAGCATGTTCCCTTCGGATCAAGGTCAGGAAGGCGAAGGAGAAAGAGGCCTTGTTTGAACGACGAAGGAGTCGTTGCCCAAACGGCCATGGAACACGAAACCTCAAACCTTGAGGCCTACTGGAGATCTACTGTGGAGACCTACCAGTATTTTTTTAACAAACTAATGCTTGCTGGCAACTGGTGCCTGTGCGAATTGGTATCTGGGACATTTCACAACTCACAACATCTCACAACTTCCTCTTGGCGAGACAGAAGTCCAAGATCTGCAGCCAAGTGTCAAATATCATGACCTAAGGAGAGATGATGCTAGAGACCACATCCCATCCATCCAGAATGTGTCTTGCTTTGTCATGGGGGAACGGTCTATGTCTGGTCGTATTGGCAGGGAGAAACTCGGACCAGGGGACTGCGATCAGGAGCATCTCCAGAATGGTGCGGCTGAAGAAGGTTTTAAAAATAGCCAAGATCCTGGACCAAACGTCAGCAGGAAAAAATGAAGCGATTTAGTTATCATGTATGGAGGTGTCAACCCGCAGTAATTAGATGTAATTACCATATAACGGTATACTCTGGGACGTGAAAGTCAGTGCATATGTGGAACGGAGGTAAAAGCTGCATGGGACGCCGCGCATTCGGGAAATCAAACAAGTCAATGCAACCAGGTCTAAAACACCATGGGACGCACTATGTAGAAGTGTTATTTTTAGATCCCTGGCAGCGCCCTTTTCTATTTCCAAATTTTCCAAATCCCCATCAGGACGCGTGTGCACAGTTATGTCCCACAATCTTAAACATATATATATATATATATCCACGGATGTTAAACACAATGTGGACGCTTATCCAAACATGCACATTGATACCTACGCCATTTACTAGAACTTGCGCATACTTGCGCCAGCTGCATGGCACACCGCTTACGCCAGACATCACTAATCTTCCGCCAGGTGGAAATCCTATTGGCACACCGACGGTCAAAACGGACTAATTCTGAGGCAGGCAAAAGCTTCCAGCCCTTTCACAAATCTCTTGTTTCCCTGCCCAAAAACCGCGCCTTGCCCAGAAGCAGCAACACAAGCAACAACAACAGCAGCAGCAGCAGACCAAGCAGCAAACCATTGCACTCCGGGCTGGGTTTTGGCTGGCTGCAATTTTAACGAGGTCCGAACGAGGTGCAAACGAGGTCCAAACGAGGTCCGAAATCAGATTTTGGGAGACTGACCCCCTAAGTCTCCTGACAAACTCTTTGGTAGCCACACGCTTCCGCATTCTTTTCAGAACAGTTAGACTCAAGAGCTTTCAGCGGTGGAGCAGAAGAGGAAACCAAGCCAAGCAGCAGCTGCAGGCAAGAGCAAGGAGAGAGAAGAGGAGACAAAGGCGAGTAAGGGAGACAGAGGGGAGACAGAGGGGAGACAAAGGGACGCAAGCTTGGCAAACAAGTATACAATTGCCACGACTTTCATCTTTGGGAGTATAGTGGGTAAACCCAAAAAGATATGACAGGTAAGCGTCGTGTGCCTATGCGAAGCCAAAAAATACATCAGTAAGTTAAAGTGATAGGCGCTGCCCATGCGGGCCTTTCCCCATAGGCACTTGTTATAACATCGACCCAGTATTCGTCGGTGTTTGTATGAATCTTGCACAACAGAGCGAGCCACAAGTGATGTACAAAACTCCCAAAACACAAGGGAATAGCTACAACCATCTACATGGTATCCATGAAAAACTCACGATGAACCATCAATTGGAGAAAACACAAGCATGATAAACACCAACTGGACGCAACATCGCACCGATTTCCAGAAATTTCTCCCCCACCTAGGACGCACATTTCATTGAAACGCTTTGACTTCCACAACTAAGAGTATACATCAACTAGCTATCCATTTCTGAGAGTGCACACTCCACCTAAGAAACAACACTTCGCATTGACATGATGCACATCAAGATCCGCTATGATTCCAAGAAAAATAATTGTCCAGGGACGCAAAGGGTGGTGTCTGCGTGCAGTTTATCATTTATCATGTGTTTGCGAAAATATATGAGAGATTATGAGAGAGAGTGTCCTGCAGTATGCAGTTTGGTAACCTGAGTGATGCATTGCACAAAAATGAACGAAAGCCGATGGATAAATATCGTTGCACATGAGCCACACGTGATTCCTGACAGCCACCATTGTCCCCTGCCTTTTGAAGCGATGTAGCAGCCGCAACATGTAGGTCACTGCAAACCCCTGAGCGAAGGTGTTGATGGCCAGAAGTCCCTGCTCCCACTCTGACATCACCTGGGCACTTTGGGTTTGCACCAAGGAGGGTTGTATGAAGGACAGCACTGCGAAGCTGGTTAACCTGGTCACACTGGAAGCATTGATGAAGCAACAAACACAGTGGAAATCCGTGGACCATAGAGATACACAGGTGCCATGGCCACACTGTCGAAATATCCAAGGCTTCCCATTCCAATCCAGTCACTGGATCAGGGTTTGAGAAGAAGGAGTCACAAACGCAAGGCATCACCAGCAGAAGGCGACAAGACCTGCAAGAAAGGGAGAAAAGCTGATCCATGGTGATCCTCAAAACTCTGATTTCCTGGGGAACAAAATCCACTTGAGACCGTACCATAGGTTCATGTTAGGAGACCTCAGGAATAGCATGCAGTTCCACGTTGGATTTCGGGGTGTATGTGGAAAATATATGTTCTTGCTTCTGACTACAGCGGTACTACAAGGTGAATTTTGGATAACTGCCATATCTGCAAGGCTGAGCAAGGGACAGGGTGAAGCATGACGACAAGAACCAGGCATCTGTGAAGAACACGGTCCTGAGCTCCGTATTGAGTCTGGCGGCTGGGATTCCATAATATTCCATACATCAGATCAGATGTCCAAAAAACATGGATGTAGATTCAAGAATTGTTAAACTTTCTCCAACATATTCCTTCAAACATCTTCAAAGTTGCAAACATATCTTGCTGACGCATCAAACACTTCCATCTCGCGTTTTTTTGGCCAGGATGCGGATGCCACAAAGATTTCCTGGGCACAGGGCAGCCAGGGAAGGATAGGGAAGGTACATTACGCACATCTTCCAACATTATCCAAGGCATTCTGTTTTGAAACCCGTAGCCTTTGATCATTTTTGATCATGTCAATCCCTTCGGGGTCGTGTCTTGCAGCTAAGCTGCATTGTTGCATCGTCATGTGAATGCCACTTGCTCCAATGAGCTAGGAACCACCAAAGGAGATTGAGTCCTCTGGCGAAATCTTGCGACTGTCACTACCACTCGGCTTGTGCTGGAGTTTGACGTACCAACAGCATCACACAGCCTTTGAGATGTCGTAAACACTTCGCACTTCCTGAGAAATATCACAGCGAGGTTCTCATGCCTCAAGACTTTGACTTCGAAGAACTTACGAAAGTCAAGGAGACAATGACCAGGTCAGAACGATTCAGACCTACTTTACAAACCTTTACACTAATTTAATACACTAATTAATCCCCCTAAGATCGCGCAACAGCATCAAACAATCCAATACGGTGCCATGCCTTCTCGAACCTCGGCAAGAGGACCATGGAATTACTCACTAGCAGTCGCTTAGCAAACTTCATAAATCTCATTATGAAACCATCGGCATTTACTTACGAAGTCTTTTTTATGTGTTATGATATGTTATGACAATCACGATTACACATGATTACACTGTGCTTTGCGTGTTTTCCCTTATGATCCAACAGCACTGCGTTGGAAAGGTGGTTCAAGCCGTAACTCAAGCCCGGTTCTCTGCGACTTTATTCCAATCAAAGTCACATTGATGCATGGTGGGTGTGGGCATTGCAATTCAATTTGTGCAAATGAGGCCAACCTTTGATTCTTAAAGTGTGTCATAGTGTGTCTCTGTCTCATCAAGAAGCATCTTCTAACAAGCAACTACTCGAGAACATTCGAGAACTATTATATAAAGGCAAATGTGATCAAAGCTACAGTGATGTTCCAGCAATTGACTAAGCGATCTAAGCGTCAGTCAACTGGATGTATCACTCAAATGGTGAGCACAATTCGAACCACCCCACAAGAAGCAGCTCGCTCATTGCTTTCAAGGAACTGCACCTGCAAGAAGGATCGACCAATACAAATGAAGATTTTGCAGAGAGTTGCTGGCTTTCTCGGCCTGCAGCGCAAGTCTTTCAAATGTCAGCAACATTAGCAGCGGATGTATCCAAATGTATCCTGTATCCAAACTTTATGGAACTTCAGTTTCTTCAACCTCCACCACTGCCACATCCTCCCAACTCCAGCACTCCTCGCTGGTCTGCAATCCCCATCGTAACCTCAGGAATCACTTCATCCAAAACCAACAGGCTTTGACAAGTGCTAAACCAAGGAACTGTAGTCGGAATGGATTTAAATATGTTTAAATTATTATCATATTCATGTCCTACAGCGATCCGGTCTCCTGCATGCAACTCAATTCTATGCTTCCGCAGACATCCAATCAGTGCAGCTGAGTTACAAAACGGCAAGTTCTACACCCATGAAAAGCCATGATGAAGCGAAGATAGGCCAAACCAACCTGAGGTGCGTCCACATAACACAGGCAGCAGCTGTCGGTGGCTTTATGGCTATGTTCAAACTCAAGCTTTGAGTAAGACAGACTTGACCGGCCGCGTTGAGGATAAGGTGCGCACAGGTGCGCGCAAGACTTGGAGTATAATATTACTGTACGAGTACTAGATTCTGGAACACTCTGCTGCCCCAGAATAGAATGCTGCAAACGACACATGTTTTGTTACTGTTTTTTCATATGTTGTTGCCAGTTGTTGCATGTTTTTCCTATGTTTTCTCATGTTTTCTCCACCAGTGGGCCGTTGGGTGTCCGGGCTTGTCCCACAGGCAGTAGATGGCGCCCTGGATGGGCAGCTTGGCAAAGACGTGGTTGTCGGTCTCCCAGGTACGAGTCCTGAGCCCCTAGGTACCACTGTACTCCTCTGTGAAACACATGATGTTCAAACACATCCATACACATCCCAAAAATTCCCAAAATATGAAAAAAAACACCAAACAAGCAGATTAATTATGCATATTCATCTCAAAGAATGAATTGACAATACGTGGTAACTCGGGGTCTGCGTTGGTGGCCGTCCCAGGAATAGTCAAGGCTCAGCGCCATAAAGATGTCGACATCCAACAAGTTTGGAAGCAAAACCACCTTCACATCTACATCATAGACGTTGTCTTGCCGCACACCACCAACCTTGGGGCAGGCTGTTTGCATCTGTGGCGCTGGACAGTGGATTGTTGTTGTCACATGTTGTTATCATCTCCTTAAAGGTAGAAGGCGTGATAGCATCAGGTCAATGTGCCAACTGATGTGTTCCCGCAACTCATAAGTAGAGTGGCTAAACCTTCGGCATCCTTCGCTGTACCCTAGTAGTGGTGCAATTCAAGACACGTTTGCGTTCAAACATAGTCTCTGTGACTGGACAATAATCGAAAATGAGCCTCCCCTTGGTTTGAATTCAAGAAATGTTGACCAAAAACAACAACAAAACACCACTATGACTATACTGAACAGATCTGAACAGCTCTTTAGAACATTTTAAAACTGCCAAATCAGGGTATCACAACTATCACAACATTCCAAATCCCTCCGTTCTGCTGAGCAACCCGGGGTGGGACGAAGGCTGAGTGCCACTCCCTGGGCGACTTGCAGTGACATGGCGATCGGTTCAAACCCTGGTACTGATGGTACTGTATCCTGGTAAATATCAAGACTCAAGACGCTTGGTAAGTGACTGTGGATGTTCATCCCTCCAACATGTTGTGGTCTTGACTAGTCTTGACCCATCCCCACATTGTGCCCCGCAATTTTTTTGGCGCAGGCTGACATGTACCAGGGGCTCAAGACCTGCACGGGCATTCTACCTGCAATATCCACTGCCAGTCACAGTTTCCACCTCACAGCGCCGAGTTGCTTGTACACCTGATTATCGGCATCATACTCCCACTGCGGCCACGTCAATTGCCGCCGCTTTACCACGTCGGGCTGGTAGGTGCAGCGGACAGGCCCAGTGTGTAATGCTGCACCTGATGGAGTGGGCTGGCTGTACTTCCAACATGTTTGTTATTTCTGACTTCCCATCTCGGAGTTCATCTGTGTCGTGAAACTGGAAATTGAAATGTCCAACCACAGAGCCCACAGAGCTGCTGTGATTGCACAAAATGCAAAGAAAACGTACAAATATGTACAAATACAAAGTCCAAGAGAAGAGGCTTTGCAAGAAAGCCTGTGTACTGGTGTTGAAAGCCGAGAGATTCAAATCTACTGCTCTGCTGGGAAATAGTAACAAGCCAAAAGGAGGACCAAATTGTCAAGGTTCCTTTCAAGATATCAAATTTGGCTGCATTAAAAGCTCATGCAAAAACTGTCTGGTAGCATGATCCCAGATAACAATTCCCTGTTGAAGCTGTGCTGAGGGAAAACAATAATTGTACAGTACTTAGCGATACTTAGCGTATAATACCCAGGAAGCCAACAAAGAATCTACCAAACCTCAACTAATATACCATTGCTTATTAAACTCTTGGTTTTCCTCTATAATTGTCCAAGTTGAGCCCCAAAACAAGTGGGATGGCCATCAGCCAGGAAACGTGAGGGCAAGGGATGCTTTGCAGCATCTTGTACTATGGGTGGCACTGTCAGCATGTCCTGCGAGATCAAGGCTCGACCGCTTGGTGAAGCCTCAAAAATTGATCCCTGGCGTTGCCTGGCGTTTGCACCAAGAATGGTGGATTGTGGTAGATGATGGTAAGATAATGGATATCATGGTACATTCTGCAGTCGAGTTCAGATCAATAATTGCTTCGGTCACAGCTCTGCAGGGTCCCATCTCGTTCCACCCACATCACCCACTGTCCAGGAGGGCAGCTCCAGCGCTTGGCACCATATAGAGCAGGGCTGGCGGGAAGGGGTAAGCAGAATGACGGAGCCAACATTTGAAAGTTCTCACCGCGCGGGTCTATGGAGCTGTCTGCAAGATGTGCTCTCTATTGTCTATCCAGTCGATCCCTGATGGCTCTGGATCCTTTTATCAGGTTCCTTCATCATGAATAAATGACGAATTCCGGTCCAAGCTAAGCTCCAGCAAGTGAGGAAAACACGAGCTTTCAAAGAATCTCGGTGATACTGCTGCTATCTGCTGGTACTCCTTCAGATCCTTCAGCATCAAATCGTGGTGCAGCGGGACGAAAGCCCGCTCTTTCCCCTGCCGCGCCTGCAATGCGATCCACTGCTCCGCTCATTTGTGCTTCCTTCCAGAACAAGAGTTCTTCTTGATCAAATGAAAAGGCCAAAGGACGAATATCAGTAATGAAATTGGCAAGGGATTCTGGAACATGTCAATCTAAACTTAACATAATTAATGAATATTAATGATAAATTATACATTATGTACATGACATATACAATATACAGTACTTTGACTGTTGGAAGATTCAGCCATCACATTATGCACCCCAAAACTGAAACCCACAATCAAGGCAACAAGCAAGGCATGGAGGGTGTCATTGCAAACAGACGTTCGCAATGTGGCAATATACCGTAAGAATCACCACTCTGTTGGGGAGTTGCGGCCAGGTGCGTTCAGGCGGTGGCATAGCCTGTTGGAATCTGTAAATTTCTCCATGAAAGTGATATCAGAAGCTGTCCTTAATGATCATGTCCCGCATATGCTGATCATTCTTCGCCCGCGCAACCAAATCATGCGCAAAAACTTCTGCAACCTTCATGTTGCCTTAGCTGCTCGCAAAACCCAAAGCTATTGGACTCGACTGCATGGCGAAGGGCACCGTCTCATCACGTTGAGCAGAATATTGTTGCAGAAGTTTGTTCATGTCAAAACCTCTATGATGCTCATATCATATCAATATGAATTGTAATTTTTCACACTCACTTCTCCCAACTAATTATACTATATGTTTGGTGACATTCCAGCAGTTGATCCAACATGAAGTATATCTCCAACTACTGTACATCTCCAACTATATCTCCCACGATAATCGCAACTGGCAAATGTGACAAGGAACAGTTTGACAGCAGTCGTATATCCGCAAAGGCTCGCGGAACGTCCAGTCTCGTTGACCTTGGACACTGCGGATTGACGGAGCGACACGAGCGGAGCATCTCCCAGCCCCCAGTGGCCCCAGTATGCCCCAGTATGCCCCAGTGACCCGAGCGGCTGGTAAGAAGCTGCCATCAGATACATCAAATCCTTGGGATACCTCGGTGTACACTGCGCCAAACAACAAAAATCCAACAAAATATACAGTATTAATCAGTATTACTATATATTATTGTGTGGAAATAATCAAAACATATCAAAACGAAAACACTCACGGCTTGTGTAGAGTTGAACACGTGGACTGTCCGCACGAAGCTTAAGAAGAACAACCTCGACAAGAAAAGTTCCTTTGTTCTCTTTCTGTTCTGAGATTATCAGCCCATTGTACTTGAGATTGTTACTTGTTTTGCTGCTGTTGTTGTTGTTGCCTATGATGTCGACAATCACACTTTTGGCCTCTTGAATGCAGCCACCTTCTGCAGCCAAGTACTGAGTCTCTGCGGCAATCTCCAAAGGAATCTTCTGCTGAAGGAACGGATCCTCAAAAACTTGCCAGTGGAACAGTTGCTGTGAAGCAACACCATTGGATAGTTGCGAGTGCGATATGACCAATTCAAGGACAAAATACTGCAAGAATCTGCAAGATATATATAATGTGTCTAGGTGGTTAGTAGAACTATTGTAATTACACAAGTTTGCTCTGCACATTTTCCGAAGCAAAAGAAGCCATCGCCAAGTTTTCAAGTCTTTCTCAAGAGAATTCTCAAAACATTCAAAGTTGTTCAAAGCATCTTTCTGAATTAAGGCATTGCCGGCCCCATCCGGCCCCTGGGCATCCACACACATGGATACGGTGACTTAGCCGAGAAGGACCGCGCCTGGACGTCCCAACAAGCTTCCCCTCTTCAGCGCAGGAATATGATGTGTATGATATATGATATATATTTTTGGTATATATTAGTTATTAATATATTATTACGTATATATTGATGATATATGTGCTTCTTCTGACTTCTACATATGTAATTGTTCATGTTCTATGGCTTGTATAAATATCATCAGTGTGTCCATAGATATAGGCGCTTGGATTTGTGGCGCCTACTTGGCCAACACTTGGACCTGAATCTCATTGATAACAGTTCCCGGCGGTTGGCGGTTCGGTCCTGCAGGTTGCTAGATTTTTTGTCATATATATATACATATTTATATATATATATATATATTTATATATATATATATTTATATATATATATATTAATATATATATATATTAATATATATATTGTAATATCGATGTCCTATAAACGGTACATACATAACTGATCATAACTGTTACACAACCCATCAGAACCCTCAGTTAGATGGCCCCAAATAGCCCCAAGCTTAGACCCGCACGTCCAAATTGGCTTTGTGCTCCAGCAATTCCGTGACCACTTCTTGAACATCGGAATCCATCAAACTCCCACGGCCTTGTGACACTAGTGACTCCAGTGGCCACAAGCCAGAAACTGAAACCAGATTTGCTTGGGAATGATGGAATTACCTTGGATTGGTGCACACCATGACTGCTGACAAATGCATGTTGTGTTAAACTATCTTGAAATCATTGGAGCTTTCGAGCTCAGTGACTTTGAAGGGGAGTCAAAGAAAGTCATCCAAAACCACTTCAGCCAGTCTAATTACTCTATTTGTCAAATGGCGGCCTCCGATGAGTGCGATGAAGTGCAAGGGTGTGCATCCATCCTCGTGGCAATTTTGAATCACTTCATCACCACAACCGGCAACTCGGAGGGCACCACCATGTCTGATGTCAGCCATATCGTCATATGGTCTCCAATGTCAGTCTCATCATAGCCACAAAACAAACCAGCCAAACTTTGCATAAAGGAATGAAGCCGCAGAAATGTGCCCAGGACTGGTCAAAGCAAAACAATTGATTGGAGAAACGAAGCAAATGTTGCTCTCCCGGAATGCCGCAAGTATACAACCTTACAACCCCTCCGACAATTTGCAAAGCTTGCCTTGTTCTGCGCATCAGCTTGAGCTTTGTGTCGAAGCAGCCATAGCACCTCAATGGACAGGCCCATACCAAGTTGCCGAGTGAATCGAGAAGGATATCTGCCGCGCACAATTTCTGCACCCAATCGAACAGGCTGTCCATTGTGGAAACATGATTACACTTGCTGTACCCTATGTTGGCCAACCTAAAGTGACGGTGTTGACTGCTGTAATCAATAACTCAAAATTGAAGGTCTATGGATGTCTCTGGTTAAAATTAGATACGATGATACTGATACGATTGCTTAAATGTTGCTATAAATCTCTGCAGATGACGAAGATCTCCGAAAAAAATTCGCCATTGGAGCACTGCATCTTTCTGCCCCAAGTAGGCAGCGTCATGGATTGGGCAGTAGAAGTTGAAGCGATCCGGGCTGCCTTTGATATTCACCTGAGTCCATGGCAAAACGCCCAGCGCTCCAAATGCTCCAAGGAGAAAGGAAATGACCCACGAATAAAATCTGGACTTCCCAAATGCAATCAATTCAATAGCTATGCCATACTGCGTCACTAAGAAGTTATGCTTTAAGATATTTTAAGATGCAGTCACTTGCAGAGTTCAAAGGGAAGCGACACGAGAACAATAGCTGATCAATAGCTCATCGCTGGCGCAGTGAACACAACTGATATGCCATGACCCCTGTGCCCCTGATCCAATGGTTCCACCTCCAAAGATTCCAAAGTCCAAGGTACGGTGGCATGGCTTGAGACGAGCCCTAAGTGCAATGAGAGTGACATTGAACGCTGAAAAGGATTGAAAAGGATGAATGTTTGAAGTTTCAACCCTCAACTCCATGTTGTAGGAAGTTAAAAGTTATAACGAATTATAAAGTATAAAATGAAGCTATACAAACTAACTAGTCTCTTGAAACATCGCTGCAGCCAAATATCTTGCTGGCTAAGTTAGCTTTGCTTTATAGCCTTTGACCTTCAAGCTTTGGGGCAAGGAAGGCCGTCGTGACGCATCAACTAAACCCTGAGATATCCCAAATTCATCTTGGAACAGCTTGGATTCCGACTATCAGTCCTTCTCCATTTGTTTCCATAACAGCATCACCCAACCCCCAAAGATCCCCCAGCTGTCCAATGCTGCCCAGCGTCGTGGCAGATCGCTTTCAGCAGTACCATGGCTCAATGCCTCCATTGCTTCGCAAGAACCCAATCCTGCAGCGATGTGCATGGCATTGAGTTCCGTCTCGTATGCTGCCTGGGCGATGTTGGGGTGACGCCGGTGACGCGTCAAAGCGACCTGGTTTGGCGACTCGGTGATATAACAAACTACTCAATGGAACCAGAGCAAGGCTGGGCAAGAAACTGCTACAAAAGCAGGATTCAGCCAACTTGGCGCCTCAATATGGCTCAATAGCTTTGGACCATAGTTGCAGTCCCGCAATCCCTTGTATGGTTAATCTCAGTGATGTTCATGGAATTCCCATCCATTGTAAAGACCTACTAAACGTATCTTTTTGGACTTTGTCTATATACCTGGTTTACCGCCGAATCAAATTTGCCAAAGAAAACTTCCATCTGCTTCATGACAGCATATATGAATATGATTGAATATGATTGAATATGATTGAATATGATTGAATATGATTGAGTATGATTGAATATGATTGAATGATATTGAATGTGATTGAATATGATTGAATATGATTGAATGTGATTGAATATTGTTCACATCCGATTATTTATCCCCACAATGCCAGCCAAAGCCTGGGACGGATTTGCAAAACCCTCACAATAAAGTCGGCCGACCTGTTTAAGGAGGATACTGGGGATACGTTATATTAATATTATATGATTATATCTGTTGCTTTTCATTTATATGTTTCTTGATTCTTGTATTTTCAAAGCTATTAATACTAAAGAAATTATCAACTCCACTTAATTAAGCCCTGTAGTGTTTTAGTGCAAATAATCCACCAATTCTGAATCCAAATCTCAAAATCCCCAAAGATCTGAATGCATCGATTTCTTTTCTAATCCCTTGTTTGAAAACGCAGAGAAAAAAAGCAGTAGCCTCGAACCACCTCCGAACCACTATTAAAAAATACACCCCTTAGCCGAATCACTGTTGTTTTTTTTTCTGGAATGTTGGGTAAATGTAGTTAGCTTTCCAAATCCTCTTTAAAGTAAAATACTTTGCTACCTCAACCCTCTTGATAACCCTTTCCTACCTCAACCCTTTGATGACAACCATGTATTCGTTTGCAATTAGAGAATTTGTTCAGCAACACTTGCTGGAGTCCCCAAGAAGTATGTGCGGCCCTAAGTATAATTGGATGTGGATGGGGACGAGGATTTAATAACCAGATGCCAACATAATGTGCATATCAAGGTTGTATTATATACAGTGAGAGAAAGGAGGTTGCTCCAAGGTCCGGATGGTGCTCCAAAGCAGCTGCTTTACGTGTGCTGAGCCATACCAACCCCCAACTTATCGTGCAGGTTAGGCACATCATTCCTGGGTGCAGCAGGGGCTGCAGCAGGACGATTGTGGAGGATGCTGTTCAGTAAATCGACATTTATGAAGCTAGGAGCACAATCAGAAAAACATATCATTTATATAATCAAAGCCAAGCATCTTGACAGTCATATACAAAGCTTTGCTAAAGACGTCTGCTTTTGCTTCCAGCACTTGTCTCACGCAACGTCCTCATGCTGAGTGTGAACTTTGACCACCGGGGACAAACTCTGTCCAACGAGTCGCGGCAACGTTGGCAGTTTCATGCGATCTTGCCGGCCCACACTGTTCTCTTTAAAATATGAAAACTCAACTTCAAAAGGAAGGTGCGTGTACTTCCGTACTACCAAGCGAAACTTCATATTCATCATCCTATCCTGTATCCTACTTAACGATTTCCAAACCCCAACACGCAGAAAATGAACGCTGCCAACAACGGTTTGATGCTGCCAAGCTACCATTTTGAAGCCTGGCGGCCTCCATCACGGCAAAGTGAAGGACTTGACATTGTGTGACCAAGCGATTCTTGAAGAGAAACTCAGCATTCCACTTGGATCACGTCGGTATGTTTTGTTTTGTTTTTTTTTTACGCCTTGAAACCGAAGCTGCTTCGTTTCACCGACACTTTGGTCTGAGCATTGTGGCATTGTGTTTGGGAGGGAGCCACCATCCAGCCTATGGACAGCCTGGATCAAAGTACCCTACCCTTGCCTGAGGTAATATGAGGTAATATACCTTGTGATCTGCACCCAAGACATCCAAAACATCCAAAAGCACCAAATAGATGCAATATGAAAAAGATTGAAAAAGCCACGAAAAGGCCATGATGGACTGGAATAGGTAAGTGCATTCAAATAACAACGTGTTAAACAAAATAGGGCTAGCTGGAAGAGTTTCATCTTCTGGTGAGCCTTTGTAAATCGTCCACTGCAAGTTGCCATGGTAAATGAACGGAGTATCAGTCAATCAAAAAGAACTCTTGAGCTATGACTTCACTCATGTCTTTCGGGAATTCAAATGTCACTTCAACAACATTCACAGCAGTATCAACCTTCCCACTACTCGTCAAAGTAGTCCAACAGCTCAAGCCATGCCACGCACTTGCGGAACTCCTGGTTGATCGGCTCAGTGTTGGTACCCCTCAGCTGCTGAGTGTTGGAACTGTCAATCACGCACAGTGCCTGCAAGAATTCCAAGATGCCTGCGTATCACTCTGTTAAACATACGACACCTTCATGCCGTTTTAACAGTCCCGTTGGCAAATATTCCGGCAAAGAGTACACTGCCAACAGCAAAATCAATGTCACAAATCAATGACGCCGTTTTTTGGGAGCATGTGCTACGGAGGTGACGCAGGCACCAATCACAATCAATGTCAGCATGTGCTACCAAAAACGCGAAATGGATCAAACGCATTGTGACGAAAGAGGAAAGGATAGGAAAGGCAAAAGCATACAGTATGATATTCATGACTCCGTTTTTCGCCATCGCGATGGCCACACCGCAATCATCTTCCCCAGGACATCTCTGACAAGAAACTTTTCAATATTTCCTCAGTTGACGCAGATTCTGCATGCACTCCGCAGTGCTCAGTCTGAGGCGGGAATCTCAGTATATTCTCCAACTGACTGACCATTGATTTCCAGAAAAATCAAAGTTTGACATTGAAAAGGTGGGTAATAAGATGCTGTGTCTCACGGCTTTAATTCAGGAATTACATTGACATGGAATTACACAATATGGTCACACCAAAACACATCAGCTTCCAAGGTACTTAACATCTCACGGCATCTTGTCGCCTCCTCAAACAGCATTTGCTTTGGAGGGGGATCAAACAACAGGGACACAGTACTGGTCCAAAACACGATGCCAACAAGATGTTGCCTCTTGTAAAACAGTTGTGTTTCTGTGATTCTTTGTGTTCATCATCTACTAGTCACCCCTAGTTGCTAGACTTAAAACGATGAAGCTAAAGCGGCATACCTCCATGCCACTGACGGAATTGGATGTATGGGTACTATCCACTGGCAACGGATACCTTTATGTCTTATGCCGAAGTTGAGGGAACCATGCAAGCCAAATGCAGTCACAGCAAACGTTCAAAGTTCAGACCCCCAGCCTTTTGTTCGATTCGATTGCTATTCTGCAAATCTTCCATCGGAGTGTGCCCCTCAATGGTCGACCGCCGTTGCAAGCCAATAGATGCCCCAAAAGACGCCTGGGATTGGAGTGGTGGCACATGGTGGCACATGGTGGCACTGATCAATCAGCCATGAATTTGCGGATCAGCTAGCGAAACCATCCAAATCAACAAAGCTGGTACTGCATGTTCATCCCCCAAAAGATTTTGCAAAGTCTCAAACCCTCCAACTGTACCACGAAAGAATTGTGGATCCCACATATATGTATATAATATATATATATCATACCTACCTACATACCTACATACCTACCTATCTACCTATCTACCTATCTACCTATCTACCTATCTACCTATCTATCTGTCTGTCTGTCTGTCTGTCTATCTGTCTATCTGTCTATCTGTCTATCTGTCTATCTGTCTATCTGTCTATCTGTCTATCTGTCGATCTGTCGATCTGTCGATCTATCTACCTACATACCTACCTATCTATCTATCTATCTGTCTATCTGTCTATCTGTCTATCTGTCTATCTGTCTATCTGTCTATCTGTCTATCTGTCTATCTGTCTATCTGTCGATCTATCTACCTACATACCTACCTATCTATCTATCTATCTGTCTATCTGTCTATCTGTCGATCTATCGATCTATCGATCTATCTATCTATCTATCTATATATATATATATATCTATCTATATATCTATCTATCTATCTATCTATCTATCGATCTATCTATATATCTATCTATCCTATCCTATCCTATCCTATCCTATCCTATCTATCTATCTATCTATCTAATCTATATAACAATATATATGTATAACAAACTATATATATATATAACAATCTATCTATATAACAATCTATCTATCTATCCATCTATGTATCTATCTATCTGTCGATCTGTCGATCTGTCGATCTGTCGATCTATATATCTATATATACATCCATCCATCCATCCATCCATCCATCCATCCATCCATCTATCTATCTATCCATCTGTCGATCTATCGATCTATCTATCTATCTTTCTATCTATCTATCTAATGTATACAACAATATATATGTATAACAAACTATCTATATAACAATATATCTATCTATCTATCTATCGATCTATCTATCTATCTGTCGATCTGTCGATCTGTCGATCTATATATATATATATCTATCTATCTACCTATCTATCTATCTATCTATCCATCTACCCATCTATCCATCTATCCATCTATCCATCTATCCATCTATCCATCTATCCATCTATCCATCTATCCATCTATCTATCCATCTATCTATCTATCTATCTATATGATACATATATAATCAGTCAACCATTATCAACCAAAAAGTGGTGACTCATAGGTATGGCATAACCATCCCCCATCCCCATCCCATGTCGAGCCAAGGCGCGGCATTGAAGCTATTGGCAGAGAAACTCAAGGTGCTGATGGCGCTGCTGGCGGAGCTCAAGTCCTGAGGGAGGCAGATATATCATATCATATGTTCAAGCGTTCATAATATTATGTACTAACGTCATCTAATATTAGTATGTAATTACATATATATATATATTGTGTATATATATATATATTATACGTATATTAGCATGTCGTATATTATATATACAACTATATACGCGTATCACAGGATGACATGTCTGATGTCATGGGATCTGGGTGGCTACTGGAATCAGTCAAACCTCAATGGCATACTTCTAACATGCCCTCGGTGTCCATACAGTTTTAAATCTTAAAATTATTTAAAATGGCTTGACACCAGACTGTCGGACAAATGATACACTTCATTCACTCCTGTGTTCCAATGTTCCCTTTCGTTGGGTTCAGTTCCATCCATCCAATCCATCTCCCAAAATACAATACAGTAATATCAAAAGGTGATAAAGTAATCCTGGTCCCATACCCAGCAACCCTACCCTAAGTTTTCTGCAAGTCTCCGTGCCCTGCTTCCGAAAGGCTCTCCCCTTTTGAGGGGAGTTGGACATCGTTTCCGAGACATCGACCGGCACCACACAGGAGCCGTGCTGTCTGGTGACTGTGGCTGTGTCAAATGTGTCAAGGTATGGCAGGATGCCCTGGGAATCAGTGGAAATTGCTGGGTGGGGCGGCTTATCTGCTGCAAGGTAAAGCTCAAACATGATTAATGCAGAACAAAAAATACTAAACCAAAACTGAACCACAACTATCCAAGCTCAGACCTGCAACGTCTTGCTGTCTGCGTCTTCCTGCTGGAATGAAGATTTCTTGGGCCCAAAGGGCTATCCAGCAGAAGCTCATGACTCAAACCGCGAACAACCACTCAGTCAATGACAATGACAAAGTGACTAGTTTCTCAATCCTGTCATTTGTGACATGAATCTCTGGCAAAGCAAAAACTGTAGACGTGCCAGGAAGTTGAGGTACGCGGCTGTGCCAGTCTGATGGGTGGGATCGTAGCCAGTCATGGTAAAGTCTGCTGCCCGCTCAACAATGACGCATTGCTCGAGGGCAAAATCAGAATTTCATCGTGAATAGACTCAAGCTCGTCTCCATCTCCAACCGATATCAACCGATGAGGTTTAAAGGTTCAAAGCTTATCATCAAGGAAATTCATAGGAATTCGATTGGATACAGTATATTGTTAAGATATCTGACGGCACCCAGGCAAGATCTGAGATACTCTGAGCATCTGGGTCTGCCGACAGCTGCAATCGCTTCCTACTTGGGAGATTTGGGTACTGTAGTCATTGGAGGTCCTATAACTATTTAGGAAACACAACACGCTCATAATTAAAGAGGATGGACTATCTGTCTATGTATCGCTGCACAAAGAAGGCCAGTTGATCTATGATATCAAATGAAATTACAGGCATTACTTCCATCGCGCAGCGGACAGACTTCTACACTGGACAACTGCATGTATACAAATTGGTTTGCAGAGATCTCTTTCAGATTGTTTGGGAGTATCTCCATGTCTAAAATCTGACATCATGCCCGGCCTCCTGCTGCTTTCTCAGTTCCTGCTTTAACTCTTGGAACTCAACCTCGGCTGCCTCCCATGAGCTCGGCTGGTAAGCATCACAACATGTCACAACTGTGGCGCAACCATACACAAAAACTATCAAAAACTTACTGGGTCAACAGGAATGCACAGGAGACTATAGCTCGTTCAAGTTTCCTCACCTGGTCAAAGTCCTTCTCGGCTTCCTTCAAAGATGTATAGAGCGCCTGAGCTTGCTGAACCATGGCCATGCTGTCTTATGTGAGACTGTGTGCAAGTGGACATGTATATCTCATACCATGTCATGTAGGTACTAATATGATCTAATATGATTGATCTTAATGAAAGAGCTCAGCACAAGATGAGCCTCAGCAGCAATGAACCAGGAAGGATCTCAGTTTGCCACTTTCAAGGCTTGCAACTCGTGTTGCGTCATCTTTGTCTGCAACGCCTTGATTCTGCAGCCAGTGTATGGCAGTGTGGGGTCGCATCGTCTCCCTAGCTGCCCATCACTGTCCTCCTTGAAATTGCTTCAGCCAGAGTTTTCCGTTTAATGTTTAATCATGGTTAATTCCTGTTTAATCATTATCAGAAAGTATCAGAAACACTTTTAGCATGTCATAGCATCTCTAAGCCACCAACATCCAACTGTGATGTCCCGTCAACCGCTAGCTCCAAACATTGCACACCGCGTCACCGCGCCTGCTCCAAACGCGCCTTGGAATGCAACCTGGCAGACGCCAACATGCGCGTCAGCTCCACCAGGCGCTGCTCCAGCTCCTCAACCCGCTCAACCTATGTTTGATCGGTTTGATATATCCACCGAGGAAACAAGACCCGCATTGACTGATGTTCATTGGTTATTTGATGTTGATTGCATCAATAACATTCAATAACTAATTTCTGCAAGAAATTTTGGACGGCTTTGCGAGAACTCAAACGTCATGGAGAAAAGAGCTGTTCAACGGTCATTTGGATGTGGAAATATGTGGAATGACATGGAAGCACACCTGCACAGACTCCGTCCTTCCGGCTCTTCCCTTGACATCGTTCAAGTTCGGCGGCCCGTGCTTGTTGTGGTTCGACACGAAATTCCTGGCTGTGCATGGACGACAAACAAAATTCTGCTTGCAGAATTAAAACACACGCAGACATGTTTGGGACAAAGCTTTGCACTCCCCTGGTATCATGTTGTATCCATCATGTATCCCCTGATATCCCCTGATGTTGCACTGGCTTGACCTTCGGGTCTTTCGGCCACCAAAGTCAAACCTGTTCCCCACCTCTGCCATATCCAGCAAATCCTCTATCTGTGTGGAAGTCTGCAGCGCTGACAAGGATCAGTGATCGCACTTGAAACCAGGAGTATAAAATGATATAAATACATACGGTACATCTGAAAGCTTGGCAAGTGTAAATGGAGCGAGGGGACACACACACACACACGATGGTATAAAACTTCAAAACAGATCGAAACAGTAAACATATTAATATTAATTATTCCTGGTATATCCTGGTATTCGTTACAACCGTTAGAACATTCACAGGTCAGGTTGTGCAAAGCCACCGCCTCGACACCGAGACCTTCTGCCAACATCATCTCGGCCTTGGTGCGCCATTCCGCTGTGAAAGTTCGTGCCCCATGGCCCCATGATGGCTGTGGTGCCATCCCTTCCATCCCCTGGGAAACCCGCTGCACCACTTGGAACAGCTGCGGCCTTTGCCTCCGCCAAGGCCTCTGCAATGAGGCTCATGTCGCCCACTTCCTGGGTCCGACCCATCACTCCCTGAATAAAGAAAAAATCACCGCCATCAGAGTAGATAGTGTGATTTAGATTGATATAGTGTAATACAGTATAATTACGTATATATTATCATGTACGTATCCAGCAAAAAACAACATGATCCATTGAACATAATTCAACAGCCGCAGAAAAGAATCACCGTCTGTAAAAACTTCTTGTCTAGGATGTTAAATCATGATTATCAATCATTGCCTCTCAGCTTTGTTTGAAGGAGTGAAGTCGGCCAAACACGACCAAATGTTTTGCGATTGCACCGGATCAGTGACTTGCATCACAATCACTAGATCACCGCCAAACTTGTGTCTCTACAGTACCAGACTTGCAAGCACTGAGTGCCACGGCTAAAACATGTTTCAGTCGCGCCAAGGCTGCTTCTCTCCTCTGGGAGCCTTAACCGAGTGTGCTCTGGCCACACTTTGCGGCAGGGTCCACCAACTTCCTACCTCCAAATGGCTCATCAAACCTAGGAGACCCTGCTGCTCTGATGAGCCGTTTCCACCTGTTGCAAGGCATTGGAGGCCAATGAAGACACCTCTGCGCTTTGGACCTGTCCCAGCGAGGTCCAAATGTTGACGCACGAAAGACCCAAATGATCGCTGCCGCTGATGTTTCTTGAGATGTCTCCCAGAATTTCCGTTGAAAACCATTGAAAACCACTCAAAGTTGTTGCAACAACCTTCTCCTTAGGGACGCAAACAAAGACTTTCATCTGTTCAAAATGGGGTTTGGGTGCTGACATGCTGACAGCTCACAATCATCCTGACGAATGCCAGAATTTAGGTCAGTCGGTATAGTCGAAACTCGTGATGATATTCGGACTCGAAGTTTAATTGCCATCAGGCTACTATGATGTTCGTGATGTCATTCCATGTCATTCCAATATATACACTACCAAAAGCATCGTATCTGTTTTCACCCATTGCATCCTGCAAGATCTTCAACATCTCCTTCTTCTTGTTGGCCTGTCAACGACAGCTCCGGTCGATAAGCGCCAATTGGTCCATGTCTGTGATATGAAGATATACCAAGTATATATGCTGGTAAAAAAAAGAAGTGGCGGTATAAACATAGATATGACATGTCCATCAAGGATGCCCTGTAAACATCTAATCACAAATGTACACAAGCATTAAGTTCAACAGAACAAAGATATTGCATGGCGCCAAAGATCTTAGCACACCCTCCACCTCTATTGATCGGACCCAGGCCCCAGATATTGGCAGTGGCGAGAGTCCATCAGCCACAACATGCATCTGGTTTGGAAAATATGACTGGCTCAGCAAGGGACCTCCTCAATCTCCTCTGGGGTTGGCTCAGGCACAACTTCCTTGCTGCAAAGGTGAGTTTTTGGGGCAGAGGCCATAAGATTCCCAACCTTGCGCCTAACCACCTGAAATTAAATCAACTGCTGAACTGCCTGAAGGGTAAAACAACCAAAGGAACGATATAGGAACCTACAATATATCGGCTTTCTACGAAATGCATGTTGACTTCCTGACATTGCAGATCTTGTTTGAACATTTCCACCAGGTGACACAGAGTATATACATGATTACATGATCATACACGTCTACAAATACATATCCAAACCTAGATTTCATTAAAATTTAAAATATTAAAACAGCTTTCCGTGGAGGTATCATTTGCCCATCCCATCCAAATCCACAGAATTCCCCACCTTAGTCGACTCTACAATGGTCTTCTCAGTCTTCTCCATCTCGATGGTCTCTTCGACCTCAACAACTTTCTCGGCCTTTGCTTCACTGCTTTTCTCCGCCTGGCATGAGTTGGTCACTGCAACGTTATACATGATATAAGCAATTCATCGCAATTATCTGCCTGGATCAAACACAATCAAAATACAAAAATCTGATTATCAACATTTATCAACCTGCAGATGCTACCTGTCTGTCCCGAGACAAAGAGTTAGAGGAAATGCAACCGGGACAAAAACATACAAATACAAAGACTACATTGTACTAAAAGGTCAGTTGCTGAGAGTTCATCAAGAAATTGGACCTCCAAATCAAAACCCAAGGCATCCGATGGCCGAAGTAGCCCCACCTGTGGCTTCTCTTTGGCCACCGGCGTTGCAATCTCCTGAGAGATATGGATCCCATATGGTTGCTGGATGCTGCCTGCTCTCTTTTTTCAATTCGTCGACCTTTTATATGGGTTGAATTTGATTGATATGTGTTGTTTGCATTTATTTGCCAGGGCCTGCGGATCTGCCAGGATGTCCGCTGTTCATATAATTGCGCGAAGGCGAGAATGAATGAAAACGAGTACAATTTGAATCAACCCTGTTTCAAGATAGTATGCGAATGGCTGTGAAACTGCTACAATGAGTTTGGAACTCTTGGGCAGTGTTGCAACCTTGGACAGCTTTCGGACTTTTGTCTGTACTGGTCTCCGGGTCAACCCTCCAACTTAGGACATGATGGGACAATATATCTATCTGGTGAGACCAGATGTTTAATCTATCTGCAGTATTTTGATAATTGTGATAGTATGATATAGTATGTGTGTTTAGCAGTGTATGTCGCAATGTAAAAAAAATACATCTGACCACTATGTTTGTGTCATAGAGTCATAGATTGTCATTGCATTCTCCCTTGTCGTAGTTGATGGTCACAGTTGAAAGTCCAAACAAAGGTTGGAAACTCCCAGCGATCAGCATGGCAGTAGCGTCAACTTTTCAGCTGACATTCAGGTGGCACCTGCTTCACCTTCGTGGCCCCTTTCTCGGGCGGAGTGCTTGGAGCCTGTGAATGCATGGGAGAATCTATTGACTAAGAAAACAATGTGCATATCATTTCTCTCAAAGCACTTGAATTTGAAGTGCAACATGTTTGTAAAGGCCTATCAACTGGATTTGAATCTGTGGTCCAACGGTTTTCAAATGATTTCAATTTCAACGGTGTCTTCATTTGGGGTTCCTCAACAACCTCCGTCTTTGCTCTTTTGCACCCTCCAGTCTGGCCCACCTGCAAGAAATAGTATGCTGTGGCACCTGCTGTGATTGCACCCACAGCAAAGCCACCGACTACACCAGCTAAGGATGATCCGGATCTCGATTGCACTTCGCCTGTCGCAAGTCTGGCAGCACCATAACTCTGCGATTCTCAGAGGCAATGTACTCCGGCTATGATGTGTTGGGATGTGTTGGGAAAATCAGGATAGTCTTGAAACATCTTGAAATCCGATCACAACTAGCCACAACTAGCCATTGTGCTGCTGTCCCTGCTTTTTGGCCTTTGTGTGGTACAAATGTCTATCTTTGACTGCTAGTCAAAATTAGTAAAAAGGGTGGAAGAGTCCCGGTGCAGTCTTGCAAATGAAATATTTCAACCAGAGAACGGCACAACATGGCACAACTGCTCAGGAGAGTCTGCTTGGACAGGAAGGAAATAGCTGCATAAATGTGACGAAACGGTAGTGTTTACAACAGACACATACTGAATGGCAGTTCAGTTTGCTTGACATGTCTATGGCTGCATGATGATGTCAAAAGTCGATGCAATCTGATCTGCAGTGTAAGGGTACCATGAAGTTGTTCAAAGGCTTAGCAAGTTTAGGCAGCATCTGACAGATATCCCAACCTGTGCTGAATCCACGGCCATTGCGAGTCAACCGATGCCACTGCCGGACCAGCCCAGGCAGGGCTGCCCGCAACCGCTGCGTTTTCCGCAGCATGGCTTCGGACCGGAGAATCGTACAACGATTGGTTTTTGCTTTCACTGTTGATGAAAGCATGAATCGGTGGGAATCCTCGAGAAATTTCACAACGTGTTTGCGCACTACCTCCAAATCAGTTTTTAGAACTATCGGTGGGAAACACAGAATATCCTGTTGGCTTCCAACGTCATTCTTTTCAACCTGATCAACCTCTGATGTTACCAATATTTACCCATCATTTCATGTTATAAAGCTGCCGGGCTTGATCTGTCACGGCTCCAGCTCACAAGTTCCGTGGATGGAAACCTTGAACTCACAGCAACTTGTCATCCATACGCCGCCATGCCACCCCCCACCCCTGTAAATAAAGGCAACTGGGGGCAACTCCTATAATTATTACAGATGAATCCAAAGTGAATGGATAAAACATGATAAAACATGACAATGATAAGACATGATAAAATATGATAAAACATGATTAAACATGATTAAACTGTGTCAATGATCTATGGAGGAAATCTGGTCAATATGATCTTCCTCAGCACAACCACGGGGGTTCGGCACTTCATCGCCATCTTGGAAGCTGCAAGGATGACCTTTGGGTCCTTCAGCAAGAAACAAACGCATTCCGATGGGTCATTGAGTCATAACAGAGTCCTGAATCACGCAACTAAACATGTTATTTTCAAATATGTTTAACCTATGAAAGGCAATGTAGGGATCACCAGTTGGCTCAATCTATTACGTGGGACTCCACGACTCCACCACCAAGAATTGGACAATCCAAAATTCCAAAATCAAAATCGGGATCTTCCCATGATCTTCCCATGATCTTCCGGGAATTTCATCTCCGGTGCAGTCCTGTTCCACGTGTGCCTCCGTCTCCTTCTGGCAGAAGGCCATGGCTTTGGCGGCGGCTTCCCGAACACCTTTGTTGGGCTCATGACCGCTGATTGCTTGCAGAAATTTGAAACAAACCGGCGGGTGATTTCAGTATAGTTGTAAGACAATCAACCTAAGATGAGTTTACCATTAGTTTCCCCTATAGTGCCACAAAAAAAACATAAACATAAATAAACATAGAAGCTATATCACAAAGCTGTTCTCCTTGGATCTTTGGTGATCTTTGGTGGCACCATGGGGATCCATGGGGATATATGGGGATCCATGGGGCCTATGACATGTCACCGACCCCACCTGAGACCGAGCTCCGGCGCACCAAGCGCATGGTGCGCTTCATTGCCCGAGGCTCCAACTTCCCCACGACGCCTTGGCACGTCGATGATATAGTGACCGTTGCCGCTGTCGGTGGACGGTCCACCGGGTTTATCATGGTTTATGTAGTTCATGCTGGGTTGAGGGCAATGGTAAACTTGCAGTTGACGATGAGCCTCCACGCATCTGTCAAGGGTCTTCCAAAGTATATTTATTATATAATATTACTTATTATATATTAAATATAATACGTATATATCATATATATATATATTATTATATAATATTATATATATAGGGCTGCTCATGCTATGCTTATGCTATGCTCATGCTGGGCTCTTCCACTCTTGAAAGTATCTGCGGCCAGCAAGCGAGCCTGGGGAATCAGGATTCGACAGCCAGTGCGGTTTGACATATTAAATAGATTTAGATTTAAATAGACAATCTGTTCACTCTGGTGTCGCTGTCTGGCTTATTGTGGGTTCAGCCGCGACGAAACCAAGCATGAGTGAGTAGACATTGGCAAAGCTCAATTTTTCGAGTTCAAACACTGCCAAAAATGTCTGAGTCTCAAGTTGGATCAGGTGCATTTGTGATATTTGTGTTGCACATCTTTGCAGCTGAGTTTTTGGCATATTCGTTTGGATCCTTCAAAACCAGCGTCAAAGCATCTACCGCACATCGCCTGGCGGAGGCGAAGCTGGGTCGCGGCAAAATGGTGCCCTGTTGATTCACTGTTGCGACATTCCTATAGGATCCTATGGGAATCGATAAATTGCAACCAATTCTGGCAGAAATTCGATGTCTTCTTCGTGAATTGCGCTGCAGCGCTTCTTGTCATTTGAATACGCTGCTACATTGTTTGTGATATTTGCAAAATTTACTGGTTTGTGATATTTTGTGATGTACTAGTATATTGATTCTGAGAAAGCCATGATGCCGCAAATTGAGCCAGTTCCATCCAGCTCCACTGTTTTCCGGTGATGCCCAAGGACAACCCCAACAGCTCGGCCAACGCCTTTCTCTGCCGATGGCGCAAATCACGCGCTTCGCAGTAAGACGCACCTTGATACGATTCAATATGCATCCATGACCGTGGAATGCTAGATGTTATAACTGCCATGTCTCTGAAATGCAAGCAATATATGATGCAATCATCGTCTCAAAGCAGCAACCCTTTTGTTCACGCAGTTCAACTATGGTAACTACGGTCTGCAGGTGCTTCGGCAGTCAACATAGGTTTCCAGCGAAGGCACTGATGGCCTTGAAATCTGGAGCATTTGCCCAGTCTATGCCACAGCTTGAAGCGCTGACGGCAGCAAAACAGTCTGCAGTGACTGCAGTGTGCATAAAAACCCCAGCGAAGCATCTGACGGTTCTACAAACTCCCAAGCAGGCAAAATCAAGATTTGCCAAAGGGGGGCGATTGTCTTGAGGGTTCCACCAGCCAACACAGGGCTCTGTTCCAGACGTTCGCCGTGACAAAGCAAATCAAAGAGCGACACGTTTCTGGATAGACCTCAACAAATTGACTAATCAAGCAACATGACAATTTGGTTTCAACAGCTTTTATCACCATGGACAAAGGTTTTGGGGCTCAATGGCGGATATTAGCCGAGGTGCTCAGCTCAAAGAATCGAATCTAGGACAGGAGCGCTGGAAGTTCTCAAACACGCCACTCACACTGGTCGTGAATGACGCATCTGAGACGGTAGTTGCTGCAGTCAAGCGAACCACTTACTGTATACACTATATACAGTATATTTATATTATTTATATATTCCAAAGAATCTAAGAATGTCAACAACATTGACAGCATGCAGCACCTGTTCTATACGACATGGATTTCAGGTACAGGGCCGCACGAATTCCCTCAGCTGCTCACTGCTGGAAGCAACACAGGCTCAACCTGATTTAGCCTCGCAGCATTGAATGCTTATATATAGGAAACGCCCAGCTGACCGGACTCAACTGCAGAAGCATGACCATTACCCAACCTTTCGGGAGAGATTATGCAAAATTGTGAATCATCAGTGTTAGAAAGTTCGCGTGTTTGTCCCTCTATTCCAATAAATACATATAAATACCGATTTTGCTGGTAAAATTATTTCGCTTTTAAGCAGATTTCCGTGTTTCAATATGACAGCCATTCTTCCGGTGCAACATTTGTCTTCCAATCAGCATTCGATACATCCGTCAAACTTGTCTAGGAAATCAGTGCCTTTCCTCGCAACGACTGTATGTTTGGCAACAACTTTGCTTTGGAATCTTTGGACTTTGAGTCTGAGTCATAATTTTGGGTCTATTGCCAATAAATTGCTAGTAAATGGCCAATCACTTCTGGGGAACTCTTGGGTTTGGATCGATGCCAGCCCGGCTGATTGATTTCTGATCATTTTATTGCCTGAAACAGCCCACACAAAGGCCATCAGTGTTCAATTTACTCACCTTAAACATAAATGATAGGCACTGGCAGTGGCAGATTTCCTGGTACTGGTCGCGCCTTTTGGATGAATTCCACTGGAAACCTCGAGACTCCAGCCTCCTCAAAGGCATCCTGCAGCGAATGCCGGTGCCATTGGGTACTGCGACTCAAGCGTCGTATTCGCCATAGCGTGTGTTGAGAGACCATGAAATGTAGCTGGGGACCGCAATGAAACTTTCATGAACTTTCATGAACTTTTCTGAACTTTCCAGGTCCAAGATGATCCAAGTCCTTGTATCCGTTTCTAGCGTTGTAGTAGATCAGCTCGGTGCTGGGATCCAACGGATTGATCAGGGTGTCAAAGGCATAGACCTCGAATTGTTGAGCCAGGAACGCTTCCAAAAGAAGTATGATATGGACGGACATGTGCTGCACTCTTGTATAATACGTATGTATATCTATATATATATATATTATTATAATCATTGTAATGATATATAATATTATTATATATTATTCATGTATACATGTTAAGGACAGTGGATACTCATTCAGACACCATAGGAAAAAGCAAGGTGGAAGTTGGTTCAATAAATCTTTTGGAGCTAAATGCAATAGATGGCAACGCCAATCTATATGAATCACGAGCTCTGCCCATGCTGGGTTCCCCTCGGCAGCTGGGGTACGTAAGCACTCTTCCAATCGTCTTCCACAAAGCTTGGTCCAATAAACTTGGGGATCACTGTGTCCCAGGACAAGCCTTGCAAGCGCCGCGCACACGTGGCAAACATGACACATATGTGGGGTCACGATATGTCCGCCTTCACCTGCTTGCAGCATGCATTGTACCAAAGGTGTGTAGGAAGACCTTTCCAGTTCCCCGTTCCAAAGTATCGAAAGTGGGTTTTGACTGCCAGTTGCAGTGTGCCAGCAGCCAGCAGGTTGTTGAAGTGGTGAACTTCAGCACTGGATGAGATCCGCCTCTGAACACCATCCCCTGCCTTCGTCAGTGGTTCTGATCAAAGAGATGGTACTTCCGCTAACACCAGTGGATTCATCCAACGTCAGGCGGTTGCACAATGCAACACCACCACCTAAGGCTGGTCTGTGATCATCTCGCGGCAAGAAATGACAGAAGATGTTTGGTGGTGATATCCTTGTCATATCCACCAATGGTGCACCAACCTTAAGGATCTTAAGTCTCTACCCACCAATGCATCCTGGAAAAAGCTTTGGTCGAAATTCGGCTATCACTATCCCTTCTCATGACCCCACACTGCGGGATATGGTCACTTAAAACGGTCCGATATCCGATGGATGGGAGGCCATCAGCTCACATCGGAACATCTGCACCAAAACCGTAACCAAATCACCGTCCTCGGTGATGTCTGCCAGTGGATTCCTGGCCAAGTGGTGCAACTCGCTGCAACTGTTTGCTTCAGCTGAGCATCTTTGTTTCAATACCACAGCTTGAGCGTGCAGCACTATGCCCATTCAGTGCCATTCCGTAGCATCTTTACATATTATCTTTAACTATTACATTTTTTTGGGATATCAATCTAAAATTGAAAAGCCAGTGTGAAAGACTCAACCACCATGAGAGTCTCAGATTTCATTTTAGCATCGCAACCCGATGCATTCATCCAAGACTCCAACAAGACACAGCTGGGCTACAGTACAGTGACAGCTGGGTTTCTCATCCTGCGCTGAATAGGTCTTGATTGTAGAAAACAATTAAGCACAATAGAATAAAACACAGAATTGCATGTTGTCGAAATTCATTGGTACAAAACCGCCGAAAAATGTGAAACGCCATCCAAAGTGATCCCCACCCGTCTGTGCTCAGCCAAGCTTCTTGATGATCTTCAGTGATCCATAGCCCTTCACCGTCAATCCAGGAATTTCGCCCCTGATTTCCTCTACACAGCAGTTTGTTTACCCTTACAATCTTCCCCAGGTGAAAAAGATTTGGAAGATCAAGTGGGAAGTTTGACTCAAACCCTGGCTCCACATATTAGAAGTGCCATCAGTTTCAGATGGCATGTGTTTAAACTTTGTGAAAGCATGTGAAAGCACAAATGAAGCTGCCAGCATGTGTTCACCCTACAGGCAGCACATCAGTATCCAGGAGGTCAGAGGCAAATGACCAAGATTTCTACCAAAACCACATGAGTGCTAAGATGCTAAGAAAAAGCAAATGGATCCTTGGAGGTATTCGGGACGAAGTGGGTACCGCCCTGGATCGAAAGCAAACACACAACTCAACACATGACCGCACTGATCCAGAACCACAGTCGAGTGTCCATAGGCTTCTGCAAGACTCGAGTGTACGGTCCCAGCAGGTTGTCCTTGGGACAGGCGTTCAAACAAATGCTGTCAAAGGGGATCACAATTAATAGCTGTCAATGTAGCCTTCGCTCTCTTTTGGACATCATTCATTGCTAATTCAACAGCCTTGTGAAATGATGTGAAATGAGCTGTTGCAACATACTAGATTGCTACCATATTGATACCAACATCAATGTATGAGGGGTATACAGTATACAATAATATGCTGTATCTCACTTGACAGCGACCCATCGCTCAACTGCCTCGCTAGGCCCCGCCAGGCTGAGGATCTGATTCAGCCAAGCCAAAGTATTTGGGTTCATCGATTGCAGAGTCGTCTAGGCGGATCGAGGAGCAGGAATAGTAGAGCCAATATTTGCCCTGGCCATTCAGCTGCGTGAGCTCCGTGTGAATCAAATCGCTGTGGTGTAGACTTGTGGCACATCAAATAGAAAACACCAAGACATCAGGGGCGGATTTGCTCAAAAGTGTTCAAGGAGATGTGGTGCAGGAGATGGACCGGAGAGACTCTTGGGTGTCTTGCAATCTGTTCAAGGCTCTTGAAGTGTCTATCCCAAGGAGCCTTGACTTTGTTGTAGTACACAAAGGGATTTCCAATGCGCGATTGACCTTCTTTCTCCCAATCCAACCTAAGCCAATAAAAACAAACTCTCAAAACGAAGCAGAACAGTTCAAATGATTCCCCCGTGAGAGGTATCACCACCATTTTGCACATACAAGTAGTGTTTGTACAGGCCAAGCTTGTGCATCCAATATCATGCCCTGACACTTCTCTCAAGTTGGGCAAGCTGCGTGGGCAAGAGAACCTTTTTCGGACGGCCGAATCTCCATTTCCCAACTGTAGCTTGACGGGCCGCGATGTAGGAGGCTTGAAACAGAAGTGGGGCTGAGTACTGCCTCAGTTTCAGGTGTACCAACAAAAACACATCCGGATCCTACAAAATAGCTTGTCTCGGTTGCTTTGTCTGTTTTGTTCTGGAAAACTATGATGTTCTTTTGTATATGCAGCAGCAGATAATTTCTACTTGTCCAAAAGGGAGCGACAGCAAAGTAGAGTTGGAAGCACCGAAACCTGGTCCGAGCAAGAAAAACATGTTAAAGGCGGGCATCCAACATTGGCAGGTGAATCATTGAATGATTGAAGACCTACTGGGTTCAATCTGATAAACCTGCATGGTGATGTTGGTAAGTTCTGATCTGGCACATGAGACCAGTGTGATTCAGTTCAATTCCCAACCAATCCTAGGAAAATAAGGCCAAGTCTGCCACTGCATAAGCAACCAGGCAAGTTGGATGTATCATCAATATAAAATACAGATGTTTGATAAAAAATGATATATATATATATATTATACATAATTGTATATATATATAAATATATACACGTATGATTCACACATTATTAGTGTGAGGTTTTCTGCGTTGGAAAACTCTACGGCGCATCATGTTCACCTGTTGCTTCATGGACGGTAAAGAAGTCAACCTCATTTCTCATGCCAAATATGCCAAGTTTCTCGTAAAAAAGTGTCACAGTGTTGGAGGCCTGCCCAAGGTGGCCAAGGTGGAAAGGCTCGGTCCAGTCAGCGGACGGATGATAAAAAGGGAGACGAATCTGCCAAGTTCCAGACCGTTCAGAAAAGACCATAGTTACCGAAGCATTATACAGATATACAGGATCTACTTTTTAGTATTACCAAGTCGTTTTGTTCCCGAATGCGTAGCGAAGGGTTCTTGTGTTCTTTCTTGGGGGTCTGGGCGTGGTGGAATGTTTGCTCGTCGTTTTGTTTTGTTTTCTCTAATTGCGTCGTCGCGGTGTCTATGGAGAAAGTGAGAAAAGGTGATGTAAGGTGACGTGTGAAAGTGCATTTCGCGTGGCACCCGTGGGACTTTGTGGCACTCAAGCGGAAGTTGCTTCGCGACTCTCTAATGGCGTCGTCGCCGCTGTCCTATGGGGAAAGTGAAAAAGGTGATGGCGTCCTCGTCGCGAAAAGGTGATGTGTTGTGGAGTGTGAAGTGTGAAGTGCGGAGTGCGACGTGTGAAGTGTGAAGTGTGGAGTGCGAAGTGTGAAGTGTGGAGTGTGAAGTGTGAAGTGTGGAATGTGCAGTGGAGAGTGTAAAGTGTGAAGTGTGGAGTGTGAAGTGTGGAGTGTGAAGTGTGAAGTGTGGAATGTGCAGTGGAGAGTGTAAAGTGTGAAGTGTGGAGTGTGAAGTGTGGAGTGTGAAGTGTGGAGTGTGAAGTGTGAAGTGTGAAGTGTGGTGTGTGAAGTGTGGAGTATGGAGTGTGGAGTGCAGAGTATGGAGTGGAGAGTGTGGAGTGTGGAGTGTGAAGTGTGAAGTGTGGAGTGTGGAGTGTGAAGTGTGGCATGTGGAGTGAAGAGTGTAAAGTGTGAAGTGTGGAGTGTGAAGTCTGGAGTGTGAAGTGTGGAGTGTGGAGTGTGAAGTGTGAAGTGTCAGTGTGAAGTGCGTAGTGAAGTGTGAAGTGTGAAGTGTGGAGTGTGGAGTGCAGAGTATGGAGTGGAGAGTGTGAAGTGTGAAGTGTGGAGTGGAGAGTGTGAAGTGGAGAGTGTGAAGTGGAGAGTGTGAAGTGGAGAGTGTGAAGTGTGGAGTGTGAAGTGTGGAGTGTGAACTGTGAACTGTGAACTGTGTAGTGGAGTGTGAAGTGTGGAGTGTGAAGTGGAAAGTGTGAGGTGGGACTTGTGAAGAGTGAAGTGTGAAGTGTGAAGTGAAGTGAAGTGTGGAGTATGGAGTGTGGAGTGTGAAGTGTGGAGTGTGAAGTGTGGAGTGTGAAGTGTGGAGTGTGATGTGTGGAGTGTGAAGTGTGGAGTGTGAAGTGTGGAGTGTGAAGTGTGAAGTGTGAAGTGTGACGTGTGGAGTGGAGGGTGTTGAGTGCACAGTGTGGAGTGTGAAGTGTGAAGTGTGCAGTGTCAGGAGTGCAGTGTGAAGTGTGGAGTGTGAAGTGTGGAGTGTGGAGTGTGAAGTGTGCAGTCTCAGGTGCGCAGTGTGAAGTTTGAAGTGTGAAGTGAAGTGGAGTGTGGAGTGAAGTGGAGTGAAGTGGAGTGAAGTGGAGCGAAGTGGAGTGAAGTGGAGTGAAGTGAAGTGGAGTGAAGTGGAGTGAAGTGGAGTGAAGTGGAGTGAAGTGGAGTGAAGTGGAGTGAAGTGGAGTGAAGTGGAGTGAAGTGGAGTGAAGTGGAGTGAAGTGGAGTGTGGTGTGTGAAGTGTGAAGTGTGGAGTGTGAAGTGCGTAGTGAAGTGTGAAGTGTGAAGTGTGCAGTGTGAAGTGTGAAGTGTGCAGTGTGAAGTGTGAAGTGTGCAGTGTGTGGCGTCAGGTGTCAGGTGTCAGGTGTCAGGTGTCAGGTTTGCAGTTTCAAGTGTGCAGTGTGAAATTTGGAGTGTGAAGTGAAGTCTGGAGTGTTGAGTGTGTAGTGTGAAGTGTGTAGTATGAAGTGTGGATTGTGAAGTGTGGAGTGTGGAGTGTGAAGTGTGTAGTATGAAGTGTGGAGTGTGAAGTGTGGAGTGTGAAGTGTGGAGTGTGACGTGTGAAGCGTGAATTGTGAAGTGGAGAGTGTGAAGTGTGGAGTGGAGAGTGGGAGGTGTGAAGTGTGGAGTGTGAAGTGTTGAGTGGGGCGTGCGAAGTGTGAAGTGTGAAGTGCGGGGTGTGGAGTGTGAAGTGTGCAGTGTGAAGTGTGAAGTGGGGACTATGTGTTGCGTGGCATGTGAAATTTTGGCTCAGAGAGTCACAATTAGTTTTCATGTCACAGAGCGCGACTACGTTCAAATGTCTACAATAAGTACAATAGGTACAATCGGTTAAGGCAGTTGCAAGAGATATATATAACTTAACCTAAGAACAACTTTGAAATGCATGTGCAGTTTCTTGATATGGCTTGTTGGGGATATAAGAGTGTCAGGACGAATTTGGCGGTAGGATGTGGCTGTGTTGTCTTGAAGTCTAGTGCTGTTTAGATTTGCAACGGTGCAAAGCAACCGGGCATGTTGCTGCTGTTGGGTCAGCGGTATGGCCTTGCGGCAGCTGAGCGCTTGTGTGGGCGAAGGCCCTGCAAAGCGGTGCGGAAACATGGCGGCGCCGGCGGTGTGGCGCGTGTGACACATGTGAGCGCTAATATCCGCTGTGGTATGCGGGCTGCTCGCGCTGGCGGTGCTGCTGCCTGCTGCTGCGTTTTCATCGCTGTTGGTGTTGCCGTGGTGCATACTTGCGATGTTGCATGACCACGGTTTCGCGACCTCAGGTTGGCAGCGGCACATTGGATCGAGGCTGCGCGGCTGCGCGGCAGTGAAGTTGCTTGAAGGTGTCCATGCACAGCTCGTGTCGCGTTCTGTTGTTGCGTTCTTGCTTAAGCTGCTCAAGCCCTGCTCACGTCGTGTCGACGGCTTGGCATCACGTGTAGTGGTGTCGCGTTTGAAGCGAGAACTGCTTTAAAAGCTAGCTTTAAGGATGACAGGGACGGCTTCCAGTGGTGACCTTGGCTCTGACAGGCACTTCTCGGACTCCGACGATGTCGCCGCTTGCTGCCGCTCAATGTTGCTGCGCGCGTTGCTGGGCCTTGCTGCAGATGCGGTCTCAGGCATCATTGCTGGAGGAAACTTGGAAGTGTCCGGCTTTCATCTGCTACCTGTCCTTTTTCACCGTGCTGCTGTCATCCGTCAGGTGCTTCGTGTTCCACGATTTCGCTGCTGACGCCGCTCAATGCTGCGGCTGCGCTATGTGAATGCGAATGCAGCTGTTGCAAGTTTAAAAAAATGTGCGCAGCCATCCCGATGTTTGTTTTGATCCAGCTGTATGTGTATACTCTTTCTCCGCAACATTTAAAAAATGCATTCGGGTTCATCAGGTGTTTTTTTTGGCACTGCAGCTTCCCTGTATTTCCCCGCTTCGTGCCTGGTCGTGAAAAATGTAAGGTCGCACAGTGCCAAATTTTATCAGAGCAGGTGGACGGTCCTGAAGCATCTCACGTCATCAAATTTGACAATATTGCCACCAAGATTTTGTAGCTTCCGTGAATAGGCCCGATTGGGTGGACCGGGTGCTGTCTGCTAGGAACCACGACTTGCCAGAGCCTAAAATTTACCACGAAAGGCACAAAGTATCTTACACTGGAAAGGTGCAAGTTGACACAAGAACACTCGTCTAGGCAGAGACAAACCTCTTAACGTTGCTACATAGGCTTGTCTGAAAATAGGGTACTGTACCTCCAATTCCAATGGATTGTCGTCATTTTCCCAACCTAAATTGCAATTTGGATCCATTTGGGGTATACCGCAATACCTGACGTATACCGGTAGCTCCAATTGTTGAGTCTCGGCCGTTCATGGCTACAGGGCCGGGGTTGCTGACCTCGAAGAATGTCGGGTCCGTGGTTTGGGCCACGTAGCGTTGAATTCCTCCCAAGGCACCTGCGGCGGATCCGCGTAGCATGTAATGGATCTTGAATAATGATCTCCGATGGATAAACTTTGAGTTCAAAAGATGTGATTGCTGGCGTGCTGGGAATCTCAAATTGGTGGCCACGGGGATCACAAAATAAATTGTTAAGCAACGGTCTAGGACACCAACGCTGCAGACCAAACACACAATGGGCAGCCTAGAAAAAACCAGAATACACAGGCAAGCGAAGGCATACCTCTGCTTGATGCAGACATGCGCCAAATTTCAATCCTTGTGGATTCAACGTCTCATACAAGTCTCATTATCAAGCTCTGCCAGAACAATATATGCTTTCAACTTGTTGCCTCCATGGTTTGCCCTAGTGGATTAGAAGAAAACCTACAGGGCCAGGAATATGGAATCAGTGCTATGCAAGGAGCAGAACTCAACTTGCCAGCAGACGGTCTAGGACGCCACCACTATGGACATACACCACGATGACCAGGTGCCCAACACATGATGGGCTGCTGAGAATACACAGCCATGCGTCCGCTTGCATGCAGGAAATCTGAAATGAAACTAGTGGATCTTTTGGAATCTATAGAAAACCTCCCTCAGAAGATAGTAGCGCGCAGTAGGGTCACAGTTCTCTTCAATATCGAAACAATCTCGTGGACAAAGTGAGAAGTGATAACATGTCAGAGACTCACTATGGTTAACGTCCCAAGCAAGTTTCATTATTAAGCTCTGCCAGAACAATATATGCTTTCAACTTGTTGCCTCCATGGTTTGCCCTAGTGGATTAGAAGAAACCCTACAGGGCCAGGAATATGGAATCAGTGCTATGCAAGGAGCAGAACTCAACTTGCCAGCAGACGGTCTAGGACGCCACCACTATGGACATACACCACGATGACCAGGTGCCCAACACATGATGGGCTGCTGAGAATACACAGCCATGCGTCCGCTTGCATGCAGGAAATCTGAAATGAAACTAGTGGATCTTTTGGAATCTATAGAAAACCTTAGTAGCGCGCAGTAGAGTCACAGTTCTCTTCAATATCGAAACAAACTCGTGGACAAAGTGAGAAGTGATAACATGTCAGAGACTCACTATGGTTAACGTCCCAAGCAAGTCTCATTGTCAAGCTCTGCCAGAACAATATATGCTTTCAACTTGTTGCCTCCATGGTTTGCCCTAGTGGATTAGAAGAAAACCTACAGGGCCAGGAATATGGAATCAGTGCTATGCAAGGAGCAGAACTCAACTTGCCAGCAGACGGTCTAGGACGCCACCACTATGGACATACACCACGATGACCAGGTGCCCAACACATGATGGGCTGCTGAGAATACACAGCCATGCGTCCGCTTGCATGCAGGAAATCTGAAATGAAACTAGTGGATCTTTTGGAATCTATAGAAAACCTCCCTCAGAAGATAGTAGCGCGCAGTAGGGTCACAGTTCTCTTCAATATCGAAACAATCTCGTGGACAAAGTGAGAAGTGATAACATGTCAGAGACTCACTATGGTTAACGTCCCAAGCAAGTCTCATGATCAAGCTCTGCCAGAACAATATATGCTTTCAACTTGTTGCCTCCATGGTTTGCCCTAGTGGATTAGAAGAAAACCTACAGGGCCAGGAATATGGAATCAGTGCTATGCAAGGAGCAGAACTCAACTTGCCAGCAGATGGTCTAGGACGCCACCACTATGGATATACACCACGATGACCAGGTGCCCAACACATGATGGGCTGCTGAGAATACACAGCCATACGTCCGCTGGCATGCAGGAAATCTGAAATGAAACTATTGGAATCTATAGGAATCTCTAGAAAACCTCTCCTCAGAAGATAGTAGCGCGAGCGCGCAGTAGAGTCACAGTGTCCCTTCAATTCAGAAAAACTCCGTGGGGACAAGTGAGAATTGAAATAAAATGTTTTGAGACTCACTATGGTATTAACGTCCCAAGCAAGTTCTCATTAATCCCAAGCGCTGCCAGAACAATAATGCTTTCATTCAATCAACTTGTTGCCTCCATGGTTTGCCCTAGTGGATTAGAAGAAAACCTACAGGGCCAGGAATATGGAATCAGTGCTATGCAAGGAGCAGAACTCAACTTGCCAGCAGACGGTCTAGGACGCCACCACTATGGACATACACCACGATGACCAGGTGCCCAACACATGATGGGCTGCTGAGAATACACAGCCATGCGTCCGCTTGCATGCAGGAAATCTGAAATGAAACTAGTGGATCTTTTGGAATCTATAGAAAACCTCCCTCAGAAGATAGTGCCGCACAGTAGGGTCACAGTGCTCTTCAATATCGAAACAAACTCGTGGACAAAGTGAGAAGTGATAACATGTCAGAGACTCACTATATGGTTAACGTCCCAAGCAAGTCTCATTTTCAAGCTCTGCCAGAACATGCCAGAACAATATATGCTCTCAACTCTTTGCCTCCATGGTTTGCCCTAGTGGATTAGAAGAAAACCTACAGGGCCAGGAATATGGAATCAGTGCTATGCAAGGAGCAGAACTCAACTTGCCAGCAGATGGTCTAGGACGCCACCACTATGGATATACACCACGATGACCAGGTGCCCAACACATGATGGGCTGCTGAGAATACACAGCCATACGTCCGCTGGCATGCAGGAAATCTGAAATGAAACTATTGGAATCTATAGGAAACCTCCCTGTATAGGTAGTGCAAAATTTGGCTCACGCTAGTCTCAGTCGGGTCAATCTCAAACAAACTCGTGGACGATATGGTCATAAGCCAATTGAATTCATATTAATTTCCACGCCATCAGATCAGTCACAGTCGAAGACTCTGGGACCCAGGCCGTTGGTGAACATGATGATCTCTTTGTCCACTTGGATGACAGTTGGGTCCCCCACAATCCAATTCCTTGGGCGTCAAGTCTCAGGTCTCTATTCTAGTATCATTTGGTATGTGCAAGGAGCGATTTTGCGGTTCGAGTTTATCATGTTGGCAAATACTTCTATTGGCAGGTTCAAGGTCTTTGGAAGATTTTGGCTTCGAGGTTCCGATCAAGGTCTATATGTGTATCCTGAGTATCCTCTGAAGGTTCAATATCTCTCCACCAGGACTCCCGTGTACATTCCATTCTTCCACGATGACTTCCTTGCCGAGGTTCAACAAACCTGGCGCCTCGATGATCGGATTCAAAGACCAATCCTGTCGTGGATCAATCCTGATCTGTTTTGCATAGTATTGCTTGTGACATTCAATTACTCACATTCAATTACTCAATATTACTCATCTGCTATTAGATTCCCTTGTTTGAACATGCTTGACCAAGCCTGAAAAAAAAACGCATGAAGTCATTGTCAAATCAAATCACATAAAGTCATCTGCAACATTCCTGCATTCCTCAACAACCTGTGCTGTGAGGTATAAAGGCTGCATGCTGCAAATCTTCAATGAATGACTACATGTGCAGAGTACGCAGTTTGCATTCCAACCCAAACTAGAAACCACGTCTCTCTATTTGCGAACACCAGTTTGAGAACAATATGTCTATATAATATATATAATAATAATATAATTATATAATATCTATGTGTATATAATATACGATATTATTATATATGCATATATACAATATATGTCAATATATAATACTTGCAAAATGTAATAATATATCACCCACCATGACCTCACGGCCCCTCGCCTCAACACCACTCGCAGCACCGATCCCCTGGCAAAGTCACCAGGCTGAGTGTGCCCTGTCTTGGACATGACCAATCTGCTGCAATTCCAATGGGGACTTAACATGAACTTGACATCATTTAACATCATTTAACCATCAAAAATGGTGATGAACAAATGATGAATATCTGACATTCTCTGACATTATCCGAGAACTCGAAGATGAATCCGCAGATCAGTCAGCTTCCAACACATCACTTGCTCGTTAAAACCCGCAACACCCATCCCAAAGAACCTGTGTCCATTGCTTTGAACAATTTGGATCAGGTCGCTTGCAATGTTTTCGGGTCTCAGAGTACACCTCACCTCAGTTCACCAATGACTTTGGCATGCGCTGCCGCGCAGCCTGTGTTGGTCTAGCCCAATACCACCCCAATACCATTTTCGGCAAAGCATGCAGTATTGATGGTCTTGATGCTTACATATGCTTACCAGGGATCATCGTGAAATGGACATGACATGTCAACACTTCAATATAGCATTGCATGATTTCATTTTCAGACACAACATAAGAGGCTTGAAGTCACAGCTTCCAGTTCTCAGTGATCATGGATGATCATGGACATAAAGATGGAAAACCAAGAAACCGTTGTAGCTGCAGTGTGGTGGGTCCTCTTTACAGCAACCGCAACCCATCGTCTCCAAAAGTCTTGGGATTAATTAAAAGTTAAAAGTGCTCGAGCTGACAACGGCTGCAGGGAAGTGTCGACTCTGTAGCCTTTTATGGCCTGTCTCTGGATCTTGGAGGGATAACTGGGATAAGTGTATAAATGATGTGCCGTATGAGAAATTGCCGCAAGCTACAAGCAGTGAAGAAACAGCTTTGAGTGTCAAATGAGTAAATTTACACATTAGCTCAAGAAATCCTGGCTGTGAGTTCCCAAATTTGGTACTGATGGCCTCTTCTTCTTCGTCAGCAAAAAGCGCGGCAACTTGCCTGACGGCCTGACATTGGCGAACCTATTTTGTAGGAGAGAATGAGGCTAGAAATTGGTAAGGACATATACAAAAGTTTTCTCGACGTGATCTCCTTATCTCAAGTACACACAAAATGATTGGGCGAACTTGACAGGGCAAATGCGAACTGACGCTCACCACACCCTCACTCTTGGAAAATGTCAGAATACCTTAAGTAATGAATATATGACTCAGTACCTTCATTATCTTCGATAAATGTCAAGTTATATTTACCTTGACAAGAACGCACCTTTTTCCTACTGATGTGTTCTTCTCTCCCAAGCCCCCTGTGAATTGCGCCTTTCTCGTTCGACTTCGCTCGTCTCCACAAAGCTCTTCCACAGCCAACAGTGCTGCGACGCGCACCTGTGTTAGCTAATCTTGATAATATGACCAGAATACAAGAATGGGACCAGGCCGACTAGACTCCAAGGCTGTCCCCTGCCCTACATGTTTTCATTTCAAGTTCATTTAAAGTGTCAATGTAAATCAATTCTTGTACTGTTGTTTTGGTGGTAGAATGGTTTCTCATGGTTGAGGGCCCGTCACTGCACCTTGCCAATCGGTCCTGAGCTTTAGAAAAAAAGACGTTTGGCTCCAGGACCAAACGACTCTTCAATGTCTCTTATCAGCATCTTACCAGCATCTAACCAGCATCTATTAGCCACATTTTAGCCACATTTTAGCCACAGCAGTTCACAGCATCTAATCATTTTTCCACGCTCGTCTGGGCGGTCGCAGCAATTCAGCTGGTGGCCTCACAACTGGCAGCTTTTTTGCCATGTCAACCGAAGAGTTCCGGTTTCTTTCAGAGTGAATCTCAATGGAAGGCTCAAATAAAACATGATGTCCCAGTATGTTACAGTATGACATAAAATCTGTGTTTTGAAGACCAATGAAAGCAAAAAACATTTGCTTTCGAAGGAATTCAAAAGGAGGTTCGCTTACGTGGGTCTCTGGACCAAACCTATCACCAAGCACCGGACTATTTGCCTTTCGGAGCTGCCTGGAGCTGCACAACTGATTGAGAAAATATTTCTTCTAGAGAAAGGTTGAAGTCTGGTGACAAGCCAACAATGATCATCCGTGAATCAGCCGTGATCGATCAGACCCCGCAGCAAGAGCAGTTGCTGCCTTGGCCTTTGGTTTGCCTTTGGAACTGTCCGAACCACCCGAACCACCTCAGCTGAGTCGACAATTATCCAAGCGCAAAAAGCCACTGTAGCCACATGTAGCCACGAAACCGTTGGAAAACCACAGAACACCCGGGAATCACGAGAAACGAGTGGTCTGTGCACATGTTCAAAGCCGTGACAAACAGAAACATCGGATCTGCATCTGCAGGACTGGGTCAGGATGTCACTGAGTACGACATACAGCTGTCAAAGTATGTCAAAGTCGGCAATGTAGCAAGCATATCATACTATAGTTCTCAATAAGTTCAGTCCGTTATAATTACAAGTTTGATAAGTACAGTATCTTACAATCCTACTGGCTGTATTGTCTGATGGTGCTAACGTGGTACAGTATAAACCATGTCTGCCACTATGCAGATCAGCTGCTGGAACTGTAGCTGGAGCGACTGGAACCTCAACTATTGCCATCGATGGCAGTGATGACTGTCTTGATGTTGGCCCGCTTGATGCTTGATGTTTGACGGTTGATGGCAATGGCAAAGGCAAAGGCAAAGGCAATGGCGATGAGGATGAGGATGATGATGATGATGATGATGATGGTGGTGATGATGATGATGATGATGTTTTGAAACTCTGCCCATCAACAGTCGACGATTCAACCTAGTCTGGCATTGACAAACCCGTACGTCCATTCCATCTATAGCCATCCATCACAGCTGGGGTTTGGGCTGTAGTCATCACCTCAAATGGTAAGGAATTTGAGCTGTAGTTGAAAAAGGCTGCCCCAAGGGTTGTCGTGCAGAACCTCCATCTGGCAACTTAATGGAAATGATAAAACATTTGATTACAGTTGATGAAATTTAGCAGACAGGTTGGAACTGTGCGATTCTTTCTCGCTTCTTTCCTCCATTGCAGATCCCTTCCTGCCCACTTGCAACTGGATCATGTCGAAAACGGCACCCGAGCACGGCTTGCAACTGGATTACTGGAGGATCTGCTCGAGGACCTGCTAGAGGTTTTACTCGTTTTGCTGCCTCAGAGCTGGCAGCTGACGACCTTTTTTCTAAACAGCTGTGGCTGGTTGTCACTGTTGGTTGGACGGAGTTAAAAGTCAGAACAACGTATCACATGTTTTCAAACGTCTGCACTAATTCAGAATTGCGCCTTGTTCTCTAGAGATGATTATGATTTGGTATGTCAAAAGGGCTACACATCTCAAAGTGAGTTGACAGCCAGGCATCAGAATTAGTTGGAATCAGAACAAGTTATGTACCAGTAGGTAAAACAAAGACAGCTAATCATCCGAATAATTTGTCAAACTACAGCACAAGCTCTCAGATGGTCCAAACATCGCAACGCAAGCTGCTTCATCTCCGCAGGGTATCAACCTTTTCCAATGTCATCTCATGTCAAAACATCTGAGAACAAATCATAGAGCAAACTCCCGTGTAAGAGGAGACTTCCCAAGTAACTACGGACCTCTCAGTCGGACAGTCTTCGCTGCAGATGCCTTTCCAACTGATCCAAGACACTTCTCTTGCTTCGGCTGCTCCGTTGACTGCTCCGCTGCCCAGCCGGGCTCCTTGGAGCTACAATCAGCCACAGTCAAATGTGATTTGTTCGCAACTTGGACGAAGTCTGGGAGGGTCTGTAGTTGTGTTGCCACCATGAAAGAATTACAGTAATTATATGTTGAGATATGTTGAGAATATTTGAGAATAACAATTTGTAAACAGAATTGAAAACAGAGTGCGGACTGCCGCTAGGTTCTCACCGCTGGGCGCTGGTTGTGAATGCTCATTCAAATATATTAAAATTATCCGAATTTGTGAATGCTAGTTGAAACATGTTGAAACATGTTGAAACATGTTGAAATTGGGGGTATGGCATGGCAGCTGGTATTACCTTGACCTCACCTTGACTTCCAAGGCACTTGGCCACTGGCTTTGGGCTAGCAGTCGGCTCGGGAGAGGGTTGCCGGCCTCAAGCTGCAGCTTGCATCTGCATGCATCTGCTACAGCGTGTCATGTAGCCGTGATGACTATATCAACTTCATTGTGAAACCACGTCACTGCTGGCTCCTGAAGAGCCAATCACTTGATGTGTATACAGGATGGAATCTCTCCAAACAGGCATCTACATCATCACAAGGCTATCCCAAAAGTTTGGAAACAGCAAAGAAGCAGACCATTCATCTGGGCAGGGCAAAGAAAGCAGTCGTCTTTTCTAAGCAACCTGCTACTTGGTTGGCTGGGCTGGCTGCCTGTTTGACCTTCCGTGCAATGCAAAAATGAAGATGTCACAAAAAGAGATCAACTCAGCGACGGGGTCCAAGCTTTACAGTGTGCAGGTTGTATACAAACAGCTCACTGACGAAGCATATTGTTTCTGGTCTCTTTGATGCTTCAGTGCTGTACTTTGTCTTACCATCAAAATCTGATGGCTACATGGCTGACCTTCAAAGACCCAATACCGATAACAAAATTGAATAGAAACTTGTAAACAGCATGCAAGTGAGTGATGGTTCTATCTCCTGCCGCTATGGCGGAACACTTCTGCTGCATGTTTTACAACAAAAGCAAAGACTAGTCGTTCGAGTCTGGCAGCTTTCACTTGTTGCAGACTCGACTTCTACCCGGTGAAAGCTCAGTGTCTCTGGAATGGTGTGGGCATGTGTGGGCGATGCAAAGCATCACTTTGACCCACTTACAACTTGCAGGGAACTTACATGTAAACATCCGGCAAAGCAGGACCAGAAAATTGTTTCTCAACCCTGCCTTGGCTTTTTGGCATGGCCTAGAGTGGTAAGGAAAAAGTGCAGTGGTGAGGATTCTGTGGCGAAGCCGAAAATCAAAGACCTACAGAATGTAGCATTCTCATGCACTCTCTATATTTCTCATTATTTCTCTAGGATGCATCATGCATGCCTCAGGTGTAAAGTCCAAAGATCTAGAGTTTTCCCTCACAAGCTGGATTCTGAGTCAGTGTTGTTAGAGGAATTTTGCTCTGTTGACCCTGCAAACTCTTCGTAGTGGTACTATCACCAACTTCCCTGATGAAAAATCTACAGCAACTATCAGCTGCTGACTCAGTCAAAACTGCCGCATTCTGTATTTCCCCGTCATTCTGCCATCATCCTCCCATCCCGAAAGGATGTCCCCAGTTGTCCCCACCTGCGCAGCTTTTGCTGCCTTTGGCGCCTGCGCTTTCGCTGCCGCTGCTTTGGGCGCCGATGCTGCACGGCTCTCTGCCGCTGGGGCGGCCCCTGCAGCTCGGAGTTGCTGCTCTTCTTGCCGCCTTGGGCGGCTGGTCGCACACGTGATGCAGAAAAGTGGGTAAACGTCGAGTGATTTGACGGAGCCCAAACCTTCATTTTGACGGAACCGTTCCGAAACCCAAGATCGTTCCATTTTTGACGGAGCATCTCCAAGTAGTTTTTATGCTCCATCAAGAATCACATGAAATCTGCAGAAGCTTGCAGAAAATTTTGTGACAGGCCTGGCCCGATCTGGGTTTCCAAACTCCTGCTCTTTGGTAGGCGCAATGGATCTCAACAGCTCGTCTGGTGTTGCAGCCTGGCAAAACCACAACTGTA